CGCGCGTGGCACAGAACGGCTCAAAAGGCGGGAAAAAGTAAGGCAAGAGTGGTCGGATCGAACGAGTAATCGAGAAATCAAGCCAAACAAAAGTAGCCATACAACACCACAAAAAATACTTAGCAAATAAAACACTCCAAATGTATTAAATATAATGGGTAAACAACATAAATCAAACATACCTGCAAAAGGAAAAAGTTCCAAACGTCTTTCAATAAGCCATGTAAAATGACAAAATCAACAAGTTTTGTCCGCCATCTTGATGCCGTCTCCAATACCTGATGTGTCAGTAGCAATTCCTCTGTTCTCTCTTTGAATATAGCCGACTTAATTTGGCGAAGAAACAAAGGCTAGTCATAACTATCACATTATGTGAAGATATTTGATGAAAGAGCTGGAAAACTAGAAGATTTTTCTATAGTTTTGGGACACTTTCGACACCACAAACATTCTTTCCGCACGAGTCAATGCCTCGTTCTCGTGTCAAGAAACGCGCGCGCATCATAGAATTGAGAGACTCGAACCTAATGTCCGATTTTCTTTCGCACGAAACAGCCGTGTCTTAGCTATGGTGCTCCGCTCGCGCGGGCCTTCAGCCCGCGCGGGAGCTCCGCTATGATAACTAGCACTGACTAGGTCGTAGCATGAATAGATTTTCTTAGTCTTGTCCTTGTTTTTACCGTTTATGAATCATTAATGTGAAATCATTTGCTCAAACAGTTCGAAATGAAGGTCCGTAACTCAGTCATTATTATTAAGACATGAAGTTTATTAAAGGACGCTTTCTTGACATTACAGTTTGAGTTGTAATCAAAATTCGACTTATTTGGGGGCTTTTCAGTTAGTGACTTGACAGTTTGAGTCTACCATTATTAGAGTTTGCCTATGATAMCTAGCACTGACTAGGTCGTAGCACGAATAGATTTTCTTAGTCTTGTCCTTGTTTTTACCGTTCATGAATCATTAATGTGAAATCATTTGAGGCGGAGCTTAATCTTGTGGCGGTAAATTTCAAAAGCCATCAAACTGCTCATTAATTTTTAAATTTACTTATTTGTATAAGATTTTCTAATTAAAAACTTTAAGTCGAATTTGATCAAGGAAATTCTTTATGGATTTAAACAAACTTCTGCACATACAGACTTTGGACATTAAACTAAAAAATCCGGGTGTTACATTTTTTAATTTTTGATTTTGAAAGAAGATATAAGCGAAACCATACACTAGTCTACACCGTTTTCACCCATTTCCGATATAAAATAAGCAAAATTTCGTGAGCGATTTGATCATAGAAAATGCCTACAAATGTTCATTCCGTTTCTAGAAAATGTTAGTTTAAGCCTTTATCTACAAAAGCCGGGTGTTACATTTTTTATTTAGGTTTTAGGTTTGTCGAAAAGTGAGTTTTTATATGACCACTTTCGTCATTTTGGCCCCTTTTCTTTGTAAATCGGTGCGCTCAACCAGGCTTGACATTTGAATTTGGCGCAACTGCCGCAGTCACTCAACCGGAAAATGTCCGCTCATTCTGCCCCATGGGCCCCATGCCCCATGAGTATTTCACAAACAGGATTATGATTATTATAAAGATATGAATATGAGGACCGCATGGCACTATGATAGACACGATATAGAAATGAAAGAAAGTTATAGTGCTTAGAAAGAGGCAATTCCCGGAGAAAGAACCATTAGGAATAAATTCGGAAAAATTAATTTCGAACGGGAATTGCCTCCTTCTAAGCACTATAACTTTCTTTCATTTCTATATYGTGATTATTATGCCGACGTTCAGATCACACAAGCTCTGAGTGCAGGAACCTGTTTTCATGGGGACTGATAAAGTCGATGAGTTCCTTGGAGGAAACCTAAAGCAAGCATAATCAAAGTACGAGACTTTGCAGCCCCCAAGAAAATTAGCAGAATATTGGATGATTGTGAGTCACAATGAAAATCTAAGAAAATCTCAGTATACAATAGATATCTAACATGGAAGTACCAAGGGTCCCAGTTCCCAGATGAGCTTCTTTCGACACCACAAGGTCGTGGTGTGCAGTTCTTGGTACATCCTCAAAAAGAAATTGCTTTAAAATATCAGAGCTCCACGAGTAATTACAAGTATCTTGGATAATATCAAGTCTAGACGTACGTTATATTAGTAGTAGTAAGAATAGACCTATTCAACACTCCCTTA